TCCCCCTCCTCGCTCCCTCCCTTCCCTCCCCTCACCCTGACCATTTCTCCCCTCCTCTCTCCCTCCCTTCCCTCCCCTCACCCTGACCATTTTCCCCCTGCTCGGGTCATGACCCAACTGTGCAGCGCCTTGGGACGTCCTCCTGACGTGAAAGGCGCTTTATAAATGGAATCTTGTTGTTGTTGTTGTTGTTGTACTCTATCTAGACTGTAAGATTGTCTCTTCAGCCTATGTATTCAACACCAGTGGCTATCCTCCTGGGAGGGGAGGTAAGCAGATAAATGCAGTTTGTTGTTGAAAGCAGAATGTCTGGGATTTGTGTGAGCAAGACCCGTTTGTAATTCACGGTTAAGTTTAAAAAGGATAATTTACTTGTATAAATAAAATTATTAATTGAGTTGATTGATAAAATACTTCAGTTACATTAAATTTAATAATGTATATTCTTCAGTAGAGGAGTAAAGGGTAAAATGACCTACCTGGCCCTGGAGTAACTGAGAACATGGATACATTCTCCATCCTCCACTCACATAAAGTGCAAGCTAGATGTATTGTCCTCGTTATGAGATCACCATAGATTCACCAATCCCCTATTCTCTCACAACGTCATGCGAGAGGTTTGGATGAAGAAGGCTCTTTGGCCCATTTTATCTCATTCTTTCAAAACATCCACCCTGTCTCCTTGGCCTCAGCCTGGTAAATTCTTCTAGTCGCTATTTACCCTTTATGTAAAACAAAACCAAAAAAAATTCTTCCTGGTGTCTGTCCTGAAATTACCCTTTACAACTCTAAACCTGTGTCATCCTGTTCAGTTGTCTCGAGGCATCTGAACATATTGTACTGAGTTTACTTTCTCCATCCCATTTAAAATCTTATATATTTCTATAATGTCCCTTCTGAGATAGCTCTTTTTAAAATTCAAGAGACTAGTTTGGCTAATTATTGCTCGTAGCTCATTCGTCTAACCTGGGGATCGTGCTTGTTGCTCTCTGCACTACCGCTAGGGTCTGATCAGGATTGATCAGAACACTGCTCGTGAAAATAGGTCCATTTCTTTGCTAGATTGGTGGAGATACATCACTTGATTCCCAGGAAAAATGGCCACATATTATTTCACTGTCAGAGATTGGATTATCGCCCCCTCCCCCCTCCTTCCGGCAATTCTACTTAAAAAGATTATATGTTACATAACTAGAACCATGCTTGGATGATATGTTTATTGCCAGTTAGAGGAGGGAAAAAGCCACATTACCTGCTTTGTCTCCAGCTATAGACATCTGCTGGATAGCCAGCATTGCAGGAAATATATCAGGATGCTCAAAATACAGAGAGTGCCTCAAGCATGGAGTCTCCCCCAAGGGCTTTTTTGAACCATTAAATGGAATTGGACGCTGTACTTGGTATGAATGCAAGTTAGCGATTTTGCAAATAACATGAACTCAGCTGATAAGACTGAGCAGGATTGAGTTGTTGCCATTGCAGTGGATTTTCTGTTCATACAGTTTTTTGCTCTGTGCATATTATATATTATCACATATTTAAAATCTTTAACTTGCTTTCTGATTTGCCATTTATAATGGTGAAAACTGGACCCAGCATTGTACACCCAAATTACACGTGTGACCGTACAATGTCTAGAGTGAACAGGCAAAATGTTTCAATAAAGGTTTACTGAAGCCTTGCTAAGTTTCCGAAGCATTGGAAATATATGACACATACCAGTATCGTACTTTCACGCCTTCTGTGGTCAACAACTTAAAGAGAAAGAGGACAACGTGGAGCCCTACAGTCAGAAGCAATCCTTATAACATCTCTTGGTCAAGATCTCACATCAGAGCTTTAGGCTCCTCTGTTGAAGGATGAGACACGTATCCAATTGGGACTTTTCCTGGCCTTCTCCCACTGGGATAAGGGTCTAATTTGCTGCTTTACTTCTTGGGATTGCTTACCAATCTCTGCTCGCTCACATAGCCAGGATCATCCAAACAGTAATTTTGCAGTAGCCACAGAGTATAACATGTATGGGTAAGCTCTATCATTAGAGCTTTGGTTGGGCGGGACATTTCTATGTTTTTATAGTCATATTTGAGGTCCTGTCTGGGAGACCTCACTTATCTGCAGATCAAGTGACTTGCTTTTGTTTGCAATAATTGCAGTTTTCGGACTCTGGCTTTAACAATTTCAAAATTGTTTAAAGATATGTGCAACAGTATCTTTTGCAGTGATTCTTGCAATGCAAACTATGTTGCACAAATCAATAATTATTATTCTAAAATGACAGGAAATTTACGATTTCCTTTTGGGTTGTGATTCTTCATCTTTACTTTGAAGTAGTTTAACCTCTCTGAGAGTATACTAACTGTCTGCAAGCCATAGCTTTCACACAATAAATAAGAAAGGATTGCAGCAGAAGATCAATTGACAGTAACCAAAAGTTGTGGGTCAGAATCAATCTTGTATAAATGTGAAAGAACAAAGCCAAAACTGATGGTGAGTGACCCCAACAAGAGCCAGAATAAAGTGTAAGTGGCATTAATGTTTGATGTAAGTGACAGCAAACAAGTGCAGTAAAGATAAGAATTTTTAAAAAATCAAATAGCAGGGATAAAATAATAATTCTTCCTTCTGGTAAAGCACCATTCACATCAGTAGGATGTCTCAAAGGGCCTCACAGGATATGCTGTAAAGTGTAGTGACTGTATTTTAAAGGGGCACATGACAGCTAATTTGCGCACAAACAGCCATGAAGTGAACAACCAATTTTATTTGGAGATTGTTGTCTAAGACACCATAAGAAACTTTCTACGCTTTTCAGATAGTGCCATGGGATCTTTAACGCTCACCAAAACAGGCAGGTGGGACCTAGGTTTCACATTGTGTGTCAGCCTAACGTAGTGGTTTTACTCTTGCCTCTGAATCAGAAGGTTGTGGGCTACCCATTGAGCCTGACATGGACATAATGAGAGAAAAACCACAAAAAATTCTGTAATCTGAAATTATGCATGTGCATGTTGGGAAAGAGAGGGGTAAGAATAAAATGGGGATGGTTGTTTTCCTCACATTAGAAGACAAACAAGGTTTAGGAAACCCTCCTACAGGATAGAATGATTATCTTTCTCCTTTCTCCCTGCCCTCCCCCCCACCCCCCCCATGAAGATTTGTCATTCTTTACGCCAACTCACAAGGGAGTTCATTTTTCAAACTGAATGTTTAATCTAGTTTACAAGAATTGGCCATTCAAACCAATAAATCTGTCATAATTGAAGCTCGAGAGGCATTAGAATTACAGCTAGAACAAATAATGATATCAACCTTGACTTAGAGGATTTACTTTGTGTTACAGGAATTCAATATTAGCTCATTGTGTACTCATAGTTAGTTCTTTTGCTGCGACATGATTCTTCAACAATTATAGTCTGGATAATCCTGGTCACAGACTGTTCTGTGTTGCCTAATAGGAGATGTGCTTTTGTGCTTTGTGATGTGGGATTGATTCCTCTATCTTGTTTTTGTCGCTCTTAAGAAGGAATCCTCCTCTGGTAATACTTTTTGGCCACAAAATGTACAGTCACTACACCTTACAGTCTATTCTGTGAAGCGCTTTGAGATGGCTTGAAGACGTGATGAATTATTATATCAAATACAAAGATTGTTATTATTATTATTACTTGCCTAGACAGCATCAAAACTCTAGTTCATTTTAAGGATGGGATTAGCATTTTGATCCTCTGAGACTAACATTGAGGAGAGGTGCATTCCCCGTATTAAAAGATAAATCTGGCTCAAATACTCCTACAGAATGGAATGTTTACTTGTTATTGGTTCTGCCCATGTGCTATTCACTCTCGGGGTTAACTTAGTTAGATTTTCTTAAATGCTTTTATAGAGTGCTGATCCCCAAACTATCTTGCAACGTATATACTTGTATATTATAGGTCATTTTCACTGAAAATTTGGTCTTTGCTTGATCTTCCTGTTTTTTTATTTAACCGTGAGGAGGAAGCATATGTGCGGAGGGAATACTTGGTCTAGATTTTTTAAAATATTTATAGAGTGTTTTAAAATGTCCAGAATTATACAAATTCTCAAATACAGTTGAAGTTGATTCTTAATGTTGAAGCTGTTTTTCCCGTAAGCTTGTTTAAGAACCAACAGAAAACTGGCTCCAAAGTTGATGAGTGCATTCAAGAATTTGCAAAATTCTGGGTCCGCTAAGATGACACGAAAATGAAGTGAATCTACATCCAGGTGGAATTTCTCCTCAATAGTATTAATCAGGACTAATTAAAAGCAAATGTTCTATTGATATTATAAATGAACCACAAATCTAACAAGTTGGGTGTCTCACTACAGCAGGTTATAATAGGAATTCCAATGTAATGTATGCCTCGAGGAATACAATTTCAGACTTTTGCAAATGGGATTCCAAGTTTGTTGGTTTTATTTATATATACTGTACATATATATATATATATATATAACCACGTTGCACAATAAAGCAGTACAGCCTTTTTAAGGGGATTTTAATTTAATGTGTGCATCATGATGAATTTGTCTTGGCTGTTATTATTATCATTGTTGCAAATCAATAACTTTAGAGGTTACATTTTTCAATGGAGCAAATACAATATGTTGTACACCAGTTGTAAGCCAATTTAATGTGATCCTATTTCCATGGGCGACAGGATGGTAAACATTTGTTAACCATTCGGAAGTATTTATTTAATAAAAGTGAAGCCAATTCAGTTACTTGAGTTTGTTCTACGGTCGCTGATTTTGGCAATTTGGCAATAAAATCTTCATTTGGCAATAAAATCTACCCGAGAGACTATAGAACAAATTATAATGAGCTTGGTACTGCGACAAATTATTCAATGGTTGCCAGTTTGTAACATCATGGAAATTGCACTTATAGTGCTTGATGCATAATTATCTGCTTAAAAAAAAATGCAAGCACCGCTTAAGGATTTCTTGACCTTATACATATTTGTCATTTTCAGATAAACCTACTTGAGCATTGCTGGTAGATTCAGCTGAATATTTATCAACATGAACCGTGCTTTTAGTAGGAAAAAAGGTAAGTAAATGTCTCATCGATTCTTACAATGAATGAACTGTTCCTGGGATTAATACAGTAGTCTTAATGTGCTAATCTTGTCAGTTGTTTTAGTCCACCAATATACATTAGAAACTACTGCAAAATCTAACAGATTTATTTGAATGGAAAGGGACAAAAAGTAGTCAAATCTATTCACAAATGTTGCTTTGCACAAGCAATGTTTACCTGTTGAATTCCAACCCTGTCTTTCGGACTATGATTGAAGTTGCCATTGAGGAACTACTATTGAGAATCCATTTGCTCAATCGCTAAATCCCAGAAGCTGTTTCTTATTTCTTATATTATTTTCGTTCTATGTTCTTCCATTTGTGTATTGAGATTTTTTTTAAAAAAGCACTTTTTGATGTATTTCCTGTTCAGTTTCATCCACTTGGATCCTCCCTGGATATGTTTTGCTTTATGTTATCAGTGCAACACTGAGAATAATAATAATCCTTGCATTTGATATAGCGCTTTTCACATCTTCTCGACGTCTCAAAGTGCTTCACAGAATATGCTGTAAAGTGAATTAACCGTATATTTGTGGGCGAAACGCGGCAGCCAATTGCGCACAGCAGTGTCCCACAAACAATCGTGGATCGAAAATGACCAATTTATTATTGTTTTGTTTTGGAGGGATTATTATTAGGCTCTGTGTGGAGTAAGGAAACTTGCCCAAGGTTTCGCCCTGCCTGGAATTGAACCCAGGCGAGTGATCTAATCGCTGAGCTACAGGACTCCAGCAGGTGTAGTGAGTAGATGCACAGTTTAGGGACTAGGAACTCACAAGTTTGAATCCTGATCCGTGCTGAATTTGTTGGTCCCAATCAGGGTATATGGGAATGCTGAATTGACTCCAGGTTTCACTGGGTTAGAGAAGGGAAAATCAGCCAGGGTTCCTGCTGCTTCTTTCTCTGTAACATCCTCTACTGGTTTTGTGTGTGTGTGTGTGTGTGTGTGGCTGCCAGGGTGGGCAGAGATGAGGCTTGGCTGTCTTAAGTCTGGTGGCCTGCCAGGACTCACTATCGAGCCTCACACATGAACAATGATCAATTGAGCAGAGTAACAGAGGACAACCCGCATCAGTAACACTTGTCCTTAGGAAGAGGAAGCCAGACTAGAAGCACAGAGGCATATGGGGAGAAACTTAGAAAAGTAATTGGATACACTGTTGTTTATATTAACAGAAATTAAACACGATAATATATAAATTTTACTTATTCATCAATTGTGCTAAAAATACTCTGAGTACCTTTTCATTCCTTTACCAAATTTAGGTACTTCTTGTGTTTTTATTCACATCATAATAATAATAATAATAATAATAATCTTTGTATTTGATATAGCGCCTTATCATGTCTTCAAGACGTCTCAAAGCGCTTCACAGAATATATTGTAAAGTGAATTGACTGTATATTTTGTGTCAAAATGCCTCAGCCAATTGCGTACAGCAGTGTCCCACAAACAGTCATGGATTGAAGTGAACAAATTTATTACCCCCAGTGATCCGCTAATTGACTAACAACTAGGTTCCTATTTACTGCAAGGTAAACAGAGGTGTGTGGAGTAATGAAACCTGCCCAACATTTCGCCTTGCTGGGAATCAAACCCAGGTCTCTTGCTTGCGAGGCGAGTGTTCTAACCACTGAGATACAGGACTCCATGTTCACATATATCTAATGTCTGCACAGAACTATCAAGGCCCAATGTAGAGTGACTTGCATTCTGTCATGGAATGATCGATCTCCTTCTGTAGTTAGCAAGATCAACCTTGAAGAGTCTTTTTTCAGGTGTTAATTGTTGAAAGGAAGTCCTTGATCTCAATATCCATTTTATGACATAGTACATGGAATAAATAAAAGGGACACAATCCATCAAGATTGTTCTGCGTGGGCAGATCTAATCCATTAACCTTAGGTTCCTTCACTTCCCCAGAACTGCAAGCCCAGCATATCAACACCTTTCCTTCGATTTAAGGTTACCTCCTGCTTATTCTATTCCTGCAAAAGTAATGTTCCACATTTGGTCTGGAAAGGATCTGTAGACACAGGATTCACTTTGCCACCTTCTCTGGTTTACATTGGAAGTTGATGTTCCAATGTGAACATAAACTCCTTCTCAAAACTCATTTCATTGTTGGCTTCATAAAATAACTGAATAATCCTTACATCTGATACATACGATAATGCCAGTGGTTCCTAAGTGCTTCATAAGAAATTGATGTTGAGTGTATTCACTATATATTTGTCAGCAACTGCAGCAGCCAAATTGCACACAGCAAGGCCCTACAAACAGCCATGAGTGAATGTCCAATTTAGCTGAAGGATTATTGACAATGGTACTTGGAGAAATTCCCTTCTCTTTTTGAATCGGGTTGTGGGATCTGTAATATCCAATTGAAGAACTTGCCGGGACCTCAGTTTAACCTTTCAGCCGAAATTTGCACCTCTGATATATGCCAACCTCAAAGGTTTAACCTTACGACCACCCCCCTCCCCCTCCCCCCACCAGTGGACCATGTGGGGCTTGAACCCACAACCCTTTGACCCAGCGGTGCAAATGCTACTAAATAGTATTCAAAGTATTTAGCCAAATAAATGTGGATAGCATGATCTACCATTTGTAATCCTTGTTAGTATTCGTTAATTTCTTTATCGAATCAATAACCCAAAGTGCATTGCTGATAAATATCCTCTTTTTTAACCTTCATTGTTCAGCTAATCTGCTTAAGAACAAGCACCACATTTATAATAATATAATAATATGACTTTTCAGTCATCATATATCTCTCCTGATTTCAACAAGCGTCTGGAATATTTTAGTGAAAGCTCCCCTGCTGTTGGATTTATTTACCCAGGCTCCACTCTTCTGTGACTAATCTGTCAGGCTCTCTGCTTTCAAAACTAAACTTGTCACGATTGTTTGGTTGGATGAACAAAGCTGAAAGATTTCTTTCTATTTTCCCCAATGGCCTTGACTCTCTCTTTACCTATTATCCCTGTAAACGTAACTTTCCAATTAAAGTTTTGTAGTTAATCCTTGAAAACCTTTAACACTTTCTGTTTCCAAGTCCATGGGGCTAATTTAGTATGGTTGCCTCCAGGTCTTATGTTGCAGTGTTTTGGATGTAAATATTTCCCAATTTGGTTTACTGATGATTTCTGAGGTGCTGCTCATTTATAATGGAATCTGTTTGGTGTTGAAACCAGTGTGGCATTGTTTTAGCTACTGCGATTCAGATGATGCATCAAAAACCAGTCCCTGACAACGTGAATAAATGCATCTCTTTTTCTTGAAGGTGACCTGCTTACACCCACTGTATTCAAGAAGGTATCATCCATGATCTCGGATCTACCTTTTATTTTAAGCAGCATCTTTTATTTATGCAAACGGTTCAATGTCAGGTCGCTCACTTTGTTCTAGCTCTTTATGACGGTTGCCCATTGCAATTTCCATGCTTCTTGTTGTCATTGAACTACATCCAAATGAATTCTGACAGTTCAACTTACACTTAAAGGTCTTCTCACAAACAGTGATAATTTCTTACAACCCAGTAAAGCAGCACATCCATCTAATCAATTTGTATTTGCCTTTCCAACCATCAAAAATCTACTGTATAAATTCCTTCCCACATACCCCCTTGAAGTTCTGTTCAGGTCTCATATATACTATTGTTACAGTAATGAGTAGAAAGCCAAGGTGTCATTCCCATTTCTCCTTGCCTTTGTGCAACCAAAATTGTGACCTGTCATCAAACTGTCATCCATCACCAGCAACCACTCAATAACTGAAGACATCATTAAGTGGTCACTTAATTAACACAAATTGCAATTTAATCCTAATAAATTTTCTGCATTTGTGATTAAAATATCCTTGCATTTGATGTAGAGGCTTTCATGTTAGAAAGATGTCTCAAAGTGCTTCACAAGATTTATTGGTTGTTAGGCGATTGGCGGATCGCTTTTCCCGGGGGTAATAATTCCTTCAAATTTTTTTAAAAAAACTAATAAATTGGTCACTCAATCCACGACTGTTTGTGGGACACTGCTGTGTCACGTTTCGTCCACAAAATATACAGTCAATTCACTTTACAGTATATTCTGTGAAGCGCTTTGAGACGTCCCGAAGACATGATAAGGCACTATATCAAATGCAAGGATTATTATTATTACTGTGTAATAGTGATTGTGTATTTTGTAGGCATACATGGCAGCCATGTTGCACAAAATAATAACCTACAAACAGCTGTTGCATTTAGTTAGGTACTTGCTACCCTGTTATTCTTGTGTTATTTTATTTTCAATTAAAAAAAACAATCCTGAAAAATACCCAGGTTTTTTTTGGTGGGGGGAGACCATAAAAACTGAATTTAGCTTGGGGTCAGAATCCGCCACTGTCAAGAACTCCGGGATGATACCCCATGTGATGGGCGCTATATAACTGCAAGTTGTTGTTGAATTTAACGGTCTAGGATGTATATCCTACAGAACGTTTTAAGGGTATGGGAGAGAAAACAAATGTTTTAAACAAATGTTTTCTCTATGTATAATATTTGGGAATGGGAAGCACATTTGGCTGATAAAGTTGCAGGTTGATTGATATTTAGATGAGTGAGCTCACATAATAAATCGGACAGACAATTTGAAAGTGGATGTCAAAATCAGCCGCGCTGTGTGCTCGCCTGCACTGATATTTCTGCTTCAGTGTAGCACTTCTGTGATAAAGTAGTGCTGTCGTAACTTTTATTATAAGCATATTAGGTATGCACTACCTCAGTCTGACAAGTATGAAGTGCTACCTTTATTGCTTCTCTGCACCATATGTGCTGTGACAGCCGATTAATCCTTAAAGTGCCAACAGAAGACATTTTGAGTTTGTGTAATATTGAAAGACGTGTTATAGTACAAAAGTTACTCAAAACTGTATATTGGAAGTTTTGTGGCCACCATTTTGCTTTTGAGCCTTTTCTTTGTTTGACT